TCTAACCGTTTTCATATACCAATATACTTATCATTCCCCTCAATTTGTGCGGAATTACGAAGGACGCAGAAAATGCTTCTGAAGGATCGAAAGGGGAAATTAGAAATGCTTTTGCCAAGCCACAAGCTACAAGGAAAGCACGCGAGAAGCGGCCTTGTCTGGGGTGAAATGAAGATCAATTTCGATGAACATAAGCTGATGTTCAATGAGATTTAAAGACATGTAAAGCAATAATATTAATACAATGAGTTCTTAAACTTTTGGTTTTTAAAGTATAAATTAAAAAATTAAAAGTATAATTTATCTTTTAAAAACTGATTTTCATTTTTTTAAATGACAACTCCATTAAATTAATATCAAAGGACAAATTAGCAACTCCATTTTTTTAAATGAACAGAATGACAGATCTAAATCTCTAAAAACGAAAGTCATGTTAAACGAAGATTAACGATTAATGAATGGAAATGTGAAATAGAAACCGTTTATATATTAAATGATATTTAAATTTGAAAACCATTTATATATTTTAGTATAATCAGTCTTAAATTTAAATATTAATATTTAATAAGATAAATTTTAAAATTTTAATTTTAATTTTAATTTTAATAAAATAAAATAATTTAAAATTAAAACTTTAATTTATTTTAAAAATCATAATTAATATGTATTTTTTGTTAAAAATTATTGTTATAAATAAATAATTTTCAAGATTGATGTTTTCTTTCGAGTAGAGGTTTGAAGACTCGAAGTGAAATCATTGTTCCCTACAATTCATACATATATTAGACTTTGTTGTTTTTGGGAAGAGAATCTAAGTACGCTATTTTCCAAATGAGAATACAGCATATAGGCATGCCAGGGAGCTGTACAATATTCTTAAATTGACGGGGAATTTATACTGTCGTGATAAACACGTTCTGATTCGTATCATAAATAAGTCAAATTTCAATACCAAAAATGTCTTAAAGAGAGCGCCTTCACAAATTGCCTTCAAGGAAAAAAAAATTTCATAAAGAGACCCAAACAGTACAGAGTACAGACTAGAGAGGAAGAAACGCAGAAGACCCGAAAGAGCTTCTGACAAACAATTCTTCTTTCCCTTCAAGATTAAGGCCATGTAATAAACGAAATATGGATATTCATATCCGATTCAATTTGATTGATTCGACTTAAATTAATTTAATTTAATAAAAAATTAATTCAAATTAATATAAAATTGAGTTAGTTTAAATTATAAAATTTTAAAATCAATATAATTGGTTTAGTTTGTGATTTTATTTTTAAACCACTTGAACTGTCCGATTACAAAATAAAATC